CGAGCAGTTTTTAGTCGATTATGCTCTGGTTGTGAAGTCATAGAGGCCGGTGAACAATCTGTCTTATTAAGTAAACATTGCCTTGTCGTTGATAGATGATAACTATATTTTGATAATTTCTTTGATGGTTCGGGTGACGATTTTATTGTTATATAAATTTGTTTATTTGAAAGTTCATTACTACTTCCTATAGGTGGTAATGGTGGCTGTTGTGACCTTTCCCAAGATTTGTATGAACGTACTTTGCAATAGCAACAAAAAAGATATTTTGTTAAATGTTGACACCATGCGCCGATCATTCGTCTAAGTTCACGACGGAATCGTTTACCACATATACAATGTAAAAAAATGTTTGATATTGAATTTAAAAAATCTAGAGTTATTAATATATCATAATTTTTTCGTAAATACATGGGACAATCATCACTATTAAGTAGACTACCTTTACAATAGATGAGACTTAATAGAATATCAATAAACCAAGAACTAAGAATAGCTAATGCACATTCAATTGTGATAATCACAAGAACACGTCGTGAATCATCGTTAGTACGCGTTGATAAATGAACTGTAGTTAATCGACGTAATTGAATGATACGTATAACAGATGTGATATTACCCGAAATAGTGACAATTGATGGTAAAATACTTCCAAAGACTAAATACGAAAACAATGAGTTTTAATACATTCACTTTTATCGTTCGATAGTAAGCCTATTAGACAAGGGTAGAAAAGCGGATCCACGCGGGTACAACCGGATGCAAGCGGGTCAATACAGATACAAAAGATGTCTAGAATGAAAGAGCATGTGATTTTATGATATTTCAGACGCCTGATTTCCCTTCGGACTTGATATCTGTGAGAAATCGATTAGCTTTGACCAATAGCTTCGCGAACACATTGCGATGTGTTTTTCGAGCTAAACTCAAAGTGTTTGAAGGAAAGTCTTATATACCATTCGATGCAGCTTTAAACGGCGAATAAAACTATTTATTGCTCAATTGTTATGTACACTGCGAACATCCACGTTTTTGAAACATTACTATTAAAAATGACCTTTTCAGCATAGTCCGCGATAGTATTTCTATCTTTTCACCATAAGAGACATCTGATGTTATGTAGAAGTGAAGGGGTTATCTAATGCTATGGTTGAAAAACTTCTGAAAGAAATTTTAAGATTATTAAGTTTTCTAGAAAACCGGTTTGTTTTCACAAATCTCTATCTGAAGACTCCAATAGCATAACTTTTCTTCATCGAAATATATAGAACTCGACGCTCACTTTCATTTGATACCAACTTCAAGGTTCTGCGTTAGGGAATGTGGTCAGCAGACGTTCTACAAGTTAGGCCAAATCCACTGGGAAATGACGAAAATGCATTTTTCCGCTACGAGGATGAAATGGCTATAACTTTTTTTCTAACAAGGCTACAGACTTGTGATTTTGACCATTCGGTTCTGCTTCCTGAGCTCTATAGTATGAAATAGGTCTCATCCGTGACGTCAAAGGTCGATGCAAATGGTGGTAGGTTTTATATGGATTGAGCCTGTGCGTCAATGCCGAAAACATCCTTCTCCAGTAGCAATAGCCGAAAAAGTGAGTGTTCACACTTTCAACTAGAAAAAAATTACCAACCATTTTGTAGACTTTTGAAAGAGGTTTCTGCTGATACATATTGTAGACCACAATCTAAGTTCTTTCATGGTAAAAACACAGAAACATTATATATAAAAAGTTTTTATACTCTTAAAACAAATTTCGGATACTTAGGAATCCACGGAGATCTTCGCGGATCCATCCGGATCCAAGCAGAAACCCAGTTCCACTGATCCACTTTTTTTCTCCTTGCTATTAGGTGGACCGGGAATCGAACCCGTGTGATTTACGTTAGTATTGTACCGCTGATATCCGTCATTTTTTTCTGATTAAAAATCAATTCAAATTAATTTAACTTGATAAAATTATGTCAATAATTAAATAAACTGAACGCTGAACTTCCAGATAAGTACACGGTCCAAGCATGAAAAAAATCATGCAGCTAGTTGTATAGATGTACACATCGAACGGATGCTACTTCAGCTACTAACGAATTGGCTAATGCTATTTTCAGTTAGTTGAAGCTAATTAGAAATCGCATACAGTAACTTGGTTTTTCATGGAGGAAGCATTTCGCAAAGTTGCTCAACTGGTTTCGCAAGCTCAATTCACTAGTTTCATCACAACAGAAAGAAAAGCATATATTGTATGTTCCTGTAGTACAGTGGCGCTGCACCCGCTAAATTTTGCTCTTTTACCTAGCTGCAGTCAGTGGAGAAGCGGATGCTTCTTCAGGAAGAGCATCTAGCTTATTTCTTCAGAGATTCCATGTTTGCGAGCAGTTTTAGACAAAGGAAAAAAACAGTTAAATTCTCCTCGGTCGCAAAAATCATCTATCTTTCTTGAAAATACTCTTGGGGAATAAAGTTATAACAGTTGAATAGCACAACATACATACAAAAGCGTTAGAGTCCTTTTTTAATACTATTTTCGAAGTCTTCAAAATTCAAAAAAAGATAGAACAAACAAGAGAATCGAACACGAATCGGCGGATCATACCAAAAAGGAATCGGTTCTCTGTTTTCCCCCTTTCGAATAGTCTCCTGTGTATAGAGAAGGGAAATAAACTAAGTGTAAATTCCATTTGGCTTCAGTGAGAGCAACTAGGTGTCCTCAGTTATTAATCCGCAGGTGCAGTGCTCGTTTTTGATTAGAACACGGTTTTAATCTATTTATACTTACGCATTATTAATATACAGACAAACTGCACCTATTTTCAAGGTTAAATTCTCTTACTTATGACATTGTACTTGGGTTAAGCCTTAATGTGATTCAACGCTCGATCCACTGGTTTTTTCTTCGTCGAAAAATCCACTGAGAATAGAATGTAATTAAGAGTTAACCTACCGTTAGAATCAGGATGTTGGCTAAAACTTGTAAGAAAATCGGAAAAAAAACAACAAATTCAGGTAATATGATGATGACAGTTTAATATTTTGAATGCATGGATGAGGTTCTTCGGTTCACTATGATGGTACGAATGTTTCATAAAGCTTCAGTTTTCTAAACAGAAAATGCTAAATGTTGTAAAATAAACTATTTTCTTGCTGCACTTTAGAGAAGAAAACTCTAATTAAGTTTCTCAAACCATTCTACTAGAACAGGATTATTGAAAGAGTAATCTACATGATGTGTCTCATTATGCTCATAATAAAAAACAACAACTACCTATCATAACGGAAAAAGAAAAGAACTCAATCACTTGCTTTCCACTGAAATGCTAAATATGATAATACATTCACCTGTGTAATGCTACCATCTTCATTATGACAAAAATGAGAAAGTTATATTTCAGTGTAGTCTAATGCATTTACTAGTTGTAAAAAAAGGTAGAAAGATGAATTAACAGACATAGAATCTTATTGTTTTATTCTTGCGATACACATTAAAGGGTAACCACCCGTACAGACTTGTAGTTGCTGAGAAAAGAAATTTTTACTAATGTCATACGATTTTGACCCTCTATTTAAAAGATTTATAAAAAATTCAAAATTGGAGCTGAAACTCTTATTGTTACGCAGTTTGACAGAGCACCTTAATTGACATATACCCACAAATTATAATGAAAATTGAACCAACAGTGTCTGAGAAAATTAACATTTTTCATTATAGTGCAGTTTGAGTTGTTAAAGTAATTTTTTGAAACTTATGCACGCATTTCAAGTACAACGAAACATTTTCCCTGGCATAGTTGTTCAGGATAATGTTCTTCATATCCTAAGCGGAGTACTTTTTTCATTTGAGTGGAAGCATTTTGAAATAAATTACAAATAAAAAATTTTTAGCTTTAAATTTACTTAAAATTTGTGTAAATTGCATTTCTTTCAAAAAATTTCCACTAAAATGAACATGGTGCTCCACCTAGAGTATGAAGAGCATTATCCTGAACAACTATGCCAGGGAAAATGTTTGGTTGTACTTGAAATGCGTACATAAGTTCGCGTACCTGGTGATGAAAAAGTCGAGTTTCCATGCAAGAGCGATTTCACCTAATATAGGTTTTCACTACGTTTTTGAATTTTTTTCGAAAAACGAACATTGCTACGAGACTCAGCGTGAGGGATAACCCATGTTTCCATTCATTTTAGAGATTACCACACCTAAGGAAATATCTATTCTGAGGCTTCGAGAAAATCCGATGGCGCTCGTGAACCACGGAAGGTTAAGAGGTCGCTTAGTTCCCATTTTGTAGAGAAAATTTTACGCTAACATATCTATATGAGAAATGCAGGAGGCACTCTGGCAGATCTTGGAATTACGATTTTGTAGCGCTTGAGCAGCGGATTCAAATGATGTATTGTTCGTTATATTTGAGCAAAAAGGGTTGAAGAAAAAAAGAATGCAAACGACTAGACTACTCTGAACTGGCATCGGTTTCAGAGAAAAAATTTATAAATAGTCTATTAGGTAGATATTTTTTCTTTCTTTTTTACATACATAATAACTCTGAATAATTGTGCATCTAAACATACTTGAATCACATTTTTGTCATTATCTCTGAATGACTCATGAAATATCGAAAATCAGCCACTAGACGGCAAGTTTTGACCAAAGTCCAACGTTAAAAAAGTCATAAGTCCACCAATATTCATTCATAGGACCGCCGAAATTTCTTGAGGATACAAAGTACTCAATACACTCTACAAACTGGCATAATTTGAGGGTAGGTATGTAGGTGGTTACCACCCCCCACCCCCCCCCCCTTAAATTAATATGGAAAAAAATACTTAACTAAATGTTAGTAATACTATTAGTTCATTCGTACGAATTTTGAGATTATTGCTTTTTAACAAAAAATTTGTGTTTATTTGATAATTTAGTCATAGTAATTCATTACATATGAATATATTTTCTCACATGGTTAATACTAACAAGAGTGTAATGAAAAGTCAAAGTGATCTCAATCTGACATATAGAAAATTTGCGCCCTTTATACACTTACACTCTATAAATTGTTTCTAATTTTTGCATCAAACTTTGATCACACTTAATTTCCCACAATTGACAAAGTCGTGGCTTCGTAAAAGCGATCGAAATTTAAGCCAATCAGTATAAAAGTGATCGCAGTTTTGGAGCAAATTTATATTATTCTGCGTTTCCAAAAGGCGACCAGTTTTTAATTAACACGTTGACTGCCGGTGTATCACGCCGCCAAAACAAACTTACATGATGACGTCATACATTGACAGTTAATGTGTGAAGGACCTCAGAAACGGTGATTTTTGGTCAGAAATTGGTTTTGAGATAAGTACATGCGAAGACAGCATGAAGTGTCTACTTTCAGAAACTGTATCGTGTTCGATTATATTGATGATTTTTCGCGGCTTTCAAGCAAGTTTTCCAGGAGCCCCCAAAACCTAGTCTTCAAATAATAGCGTTTTCCTGGATACTTATGCAATTAAATCTTTTTCTGAACGCACAGATTTCTAGAACAAACTTTTCTGACCAAACTAAGACCTCGTGCAACTTTGTGTGATCCTGCATCGAAAAGTTACAATTTTTTTTTTTACAACGAATCCTAAAGCTGAGCATTTTATACAGCGTTTTCCCTACCTGGAAGTTATACCTGCAGTGTTACCCAAGATTTTTTATAGCGGTTTGTCCTAGAGAGTTCATTCTTTTTTTGTTTAAAAGAGGAAAAGGGGCTACATCGACTGACCGACGCCGAGTTTTGAATTAGGTCTTAGTTTTTTGTCAAGTTGAGGATTTTTAGTAAACCATGAAGGATTTTTCAGGTTTTGGAGGTAGTTGGTTGCCTGGAAAACCAATAAAGGCTCAATTGAGAAATCGGCCCCTGTCAGGCCATATGGTTAAGTGTCTAGTTTAAAATAAAACAAACCCAAACTCTCCAGCTTGAAATATATTAAAAAATCTTGGGAAAACTTCAGGGTCCTTTTGGACCTTGATCTATGACAGGCACTAAACCGTAAGACTTAGAGACAAAAAAAGCTTTTCATTCTCGTAACTCATTAAACCTAACACTAACGGAAAGTTTGGCTAAAATCGGATGTATGGTACCGGAGATAATTTTTGAATATAGATATATAAATTAGTGGCTTTCTCGAAATAATAGAAGTAGAAACATATATAATAAGAATTGGTGACTATATATTTATGTATTATATACGCAGCTCTACTTCAAAGACTAATGCCTATATTTATGAATGAACCTCAGAATAAGAATCAACTCCTAGAGCAAAATGATTAATTTTGATTAATAAGCAATAAAATATATCTTAATCTAATTTCTCGCAAAAGAATATTTAATAGCCTAATTAGTTGTTGCAAAATTTGATCATGAGTTCTGTCTTATTGATAATATAAATATAAAAGTATGGAGATAAAAGTCGCACTTTATTTAAAACTAGGAATACCAACTTTACTTGGTCAAAAAACACAAAAAGGTGAACAAGCAATTTTGTATAATAATTATTTATATCCTCAATTATTAATTCGCAGGTGCAGTGCAACAAAATTTTCTACTTCAAATTGAGACCACATAGATAAACGTGAAAATCATTAGAAAAAAACAAAATATATCCAAGATAAAGACGTTGATAGTTATCAAAAAAGTTATA